ATTTTGGTCTGGGTCCCAGCTTTCTGAAGCACGGCCCAGATGGCAGGGTTTAGGGATTAAAGGATTAGGGGTTTCGGGGTTTAGGGTTAGGGATTAAAGGGATTAGGGATAGGGTTTAGGGGTTAGGATGTAGGGTGTAGGGTTTAGGGATTCAACGGTTTAGGGTTCAGGGATTAGGGTTTAGGGTGCCCAAGCTTTGACAACTGCTTGGAAGATACCTTGAACTCTAACTCCTGGAAATCTAAAGCCTAAGCCCCAGAATCTGAAACCTGGCTGGAATTATACACCAATTGAGCTATGGACTAAATTCAGGTTGGGGGGTATAGGGGACTATATAGGTTTTGGGGAAGGGACATGCTACAAATTTAGTCCAGGGCTCATGTGCTTTAGCTTCACATGCTTACTCCTCTACACCTTTGACCTTAACTCCTAATCCCTAAACCCCAAATCCCAAGCTAACCCAAAGTCACACATCTCAGAGTTGGCGAGTGGAAAGGCGGCAGGGTAGCTTTCTGACTGCCGCCGGCGCTTTCGCCTCACATGTTTTTTCATCCTCTACGTTGCATCCCTAAACCCCAAACCCTAAATCCCAAACCCTAAACCTTAAACCCCAAACCCTAAGTCCTAAATCCTAAACCTTTAAACCGTATACTTACCTCCCAAAGGTTCCCCCCAATGAAGGTTATCAGCGCTAAGCAAGGCAAATTAAGGGTATCTACGGAAGCCTAAACCCGAAACCATAATGGAGGAGGGTGCGCCATGATTGGAGGGTTGTTCATAGGCGTAGGGTTAAGGGTGGAGCGTCTTCTTCTGGTTTGGAGTTAAGCCCCATGCGGGGTTGAGGGTTTAGGATCTAGGGCCTAGGGTCTAGTGTTTAGGGTTTAGGGCTGGGGTTTACCCACGGTTCCAGCATCACAGCCTTTTTCTCGGCAACGGGAGAAAACATGGCCAAACGTGAGCTGTAAGCTTGGTCTGTAAAATCCCCGATCACCCAATGCCTCCCAACTCCATATTGGACTGAAACTCCTATGCCGCTGAACCGCTGCTAAGCCGTAAGACCTCAAACCCCCCACACCATGAAATCTAAACACTTACATCCTCCCTCCATCTAAGCCTTAAACCCCATGCGCCCAAAAAACATCAGCTTGAATCCTAGACCCTGCATCCAAAATCCTAGAACATGAACCATAAACCTCAAACCCTCAATGGTTGACAGCAAACCTTAATCCGCAAGCACCCCCAAAAGTTACTCATGGTTAGCAAGGAATGAGGGACTGGATCCTTATAGTAGTCCCTACATACCCCACCGTATCATAGTAGTTGCATTGTTTGTTTTATTATTTTATTCCCTGTTAACCAGAGGCAGGAAAATACAACACCTAGACAAAGTCCAGTTTCCATTTCATTTTCCATTTTCTTTTCCGTTGGGTTCTCCATTTTCGAGGTAATGTCCCTCAACCCCACATCCAAGAGAGTTGTTTCCATTTTCTTCGCCACTCCTTCAGTCCGTATGGAGAACCACAGGTAAGGAGAGCACCTTAAATCCTAAACCCCAAACCCCAAACCACCAGCCCCATACCCTAAATCCTTAAACCCTAAACCCTAAGCATGTAAAGGGGCGCTCTCCGAAGCATGGACTGAGGAGAAAAGGTTTCATTAGAAAACCTAAACCCTAAGCCTTAAAACCTAAACCTTGAACACTAAACCGTAAGCCCCTAAACCCTAACTGCCAGGCCTCGGTCATTATGAGATCGCCCGAATGCCCTACTACGGCCACGACTTCAAGGCTCGACGCTCAGTTGTTTTAGGGTTTAGGGTTTAGGGTTGAGAGAATTTTTAGGCTTCGGAGTTTTGAGTTGAGGTTTTGGGGCTTGAGGTTTTGGAGGGTTGGGTGGTTTAGTAAACCTTAAGCTTTAAAGCCTCACCTTTTGGTTTAAGGTTAGGGGTTTGGGGACTTTGGGCCTTTGAGGTTTAAGCTTAAGGAGGACGCGGAGATGAGGCAAGTTGCAGGATGAAATGCCAAGGATAACAAAAGGTGAGGGTTTAGGGTCTGGGGCTCAGGGTTTAAGGCGTAGGGAAGGACAAGTGATCCCTACTTTGTCGAAACTTTTGGTTTGCTACCCAACCCTATATATTCGTACAAAAGTGGTCCATAGCAACAACGTCATGTCGTCGCGCAACCCTCTTTGGTCATGAGGGTCTTGTGGATTCAAAAGGCTGTGTAAGCCCCGACACAAGGAACCCCAAAAGGAGACACCAACCTCTTGAAGCTCCCATAGGGTTTAGGGTTTAAGCTTTAGGGTTTGGGGTTGGAGGTTCAGGGCGAGTTTAGCCCACTGGTAACTCTGTTTCTGTCCCCTTAATATCCACTCTTCAACGTCCAAGTCCCGAAGCCTTAAACGCTCTGCCCTAAACCTTACACGTTAAACGCAGAGGCCTAAACCCTAACCCAAAACCCGAAACCTTCAACCCTAAACCAGAAACACAGAGCCCTCAACCCTAAACCTTCATCCCAAAACATGAACTCTAAACCTTATAGCCTAAATCCTAAAGCCTACACCTCATCGCAAAACTTCAGACTGGAGCCTTTAAAACACCCTGAGCCCTGCCATTTTGGGAAGTTTGGTGCCTGGTCTAAACCCTAAGTCCCATATCCTCCCTAAACCCTGAACCCCAACCCTTAGACCCTAAGCCCTCCCATTGTTGGAGGTTTGGTGCTTAGTTCCCATGATGAGCCCGGCTACACCCAACACGACGCTGCCAGCAGTGCTTACAGAGGTCGGCTTGGAGGTTTGGGGTTTAGGGTTTAAGGTTTGGGGTTTCGGGTTTAAGGTTTAGGGTTTCGGAGTTAGGGTTTAGAGTCTAGGGTTCAGGTTTTGGGTTCTGGGTTTTGAGTTTTGGGGTTTAGGGTTGAGGGCGGAACGCAGATATTATTTTGAGGTCTATTTGAGATACCTTGTACAATCATTATACAAGGAATTTAGGATCATGATATAGGTAATTATCCCTATAAGCCACTTTTCCATGCCATTATCCGTTTTCTGTTCCATTTGATTCTCCATTATTTGGGATCATCTCCCTCAACCCCTAAGCCGTAAACCCTAAACCCTGAACCCTAAACCCTAAACCACCTCCTATGTATTCGGCGTCAAGGTAAGGACGCAGATTGAGAATAGATCTTACTAGTGGAAACCCAGAGGGCCCAATACCCCTTCAAATAAGGAATATACATAAAATACTATAAGGGTTCCTAATATGATTTTAGGTGTAGTCCTTCTTTAAGGGGTATTGGGCTCCCTGGGAAACCCCAAGCCCTAAGGGCTTGCTACAGTGACGCCTGGCAGCACGCACTTGATTGAAGCAGAAGAAGAAGTTGTGTACTCTGGCACCATGCCATGCGAAAGGTTCTGGGCAAATTTCAGTAGTTTGCTGGCCCAGGAGTGCAGGCAAATGTTTAGACCTTGGTGGCACCTACTAAATTTTCTGTGCTTCCTGCGTCTGCAGTATGCGCAGTTCAAGCGGAACTGCCACCAGACTTGGTGCGAAGCAGATCCGCTCCTGGCGGCTAACCTGGGCGACTTGATCAGTATGACTCAGCTGCGGCGCAAGGATTCCTTCTTGGGCCAGCCTCGTGAAGTATTACAGGTCTCAGGCAAGCGTTGAATTTAGGATTTGCTGCGTAGCAATCAGTAGTATACTTCAAGGCACTGGGCCCTCATTTTGCGAGAACTGTTCAGGCGTTTCTGATGTCCTGTGTTTGGTCTGGGTCAAAAAGCTCGTCTCTGCGGTTACAAGAAGCCTGTGTGCTCTTGGAGAGCAGTCTAGCTGCGATTGTGGGCAACCTGAATGTTATCTGTCGACGCCATTGGCAAAAATGGGCCACAGCGAAGGCCGGTGAGTATGCTGACCTGCCAAGGGCATCCCGCCTATTATGCTGGTCTTGCAGGTGTATACTTAGACCTTTGGCAGCCGCTGCAGCTGAACATGTGAGATTCTTGTGTGACTGCCTTGCGACAGGAGCTTTTCTTGGGAGATGCAGGGTAGCCAGTGCAAAGCCTTACAGGGGTCCAGTCAAGCTTGTGTGGCAACACCATGAATTCTGACTGTCGCTCATGACAAATAGCTACCGTTGTGTAGCGCGGAGCGCACAATTGGCGCAGTCGGTGTTGCTGACCCAAGTGGTATGCAATAGCTGCAGCAGGCGTGGCAGTACGGTGGCACACTCGGTGGCACAAGCGCTGCGCAGGGCACAGAGGGCGCGTGCAATGGGCAGAAAGCAAGCGTCGCCACTGGTCAACAGTTGGCGCCGCTTAGCGCACATGGCATAGTTGGCCTGTAGCTGGAGCAAGTGCCGCACATGGTGCAGCTGGCATCTAACGCACAGAGCAGTGGTGGGGGCAGATGGTGCAGCTGGTGGAGCTAGCGCTCATGGCAGGACACCTCGTGCACCTGGCGATAGTGCAGATGGCGCAGGAGGGCACAGTTGGCGAAGGTGGTGCAAGGGGCGCGGTGCAGCTGGTGCAGGGTTGCGCATTTGGCGTTATGGCACAGGTCCAAGTTGGCGCAGCTGGCGACATGGTGCGTGCAGGTGGCGCAGGTGGTGCGGGTGGTGCAGCAGGCGCAGCCGGCTGGCGCAGGAGCCACAATTTCGCATAGCTGGCGCAGGCGGTGTCGCTGGTGCAGGTGGCGCAGATGGTGCAAGTGGCGCAGACTCCAGACAGTTTAAGTCCGACCACGCCTTCTGCCTGCGCTCAAAACAATCACCGCAGAAAACCCCTGATACGGGGGATTTTCATCAATTCTTGTTATCCTATATTATCTTGCTGTTCCCCTAAAACTTTAAGCCGTGAAGTCGAAACCGACACTGAAAACATTTGAACCTTATAGATTCTACATCCCCAAATTTAGAGTTAAATTCAACATCCTAAATTTTAAGCCCTCAATTTTCAATCGTAACCTTTAAACTCTACGTTGTTTCAATGGAGCTGGGCCTCCGGCAGGCCTATGGTGGCCCGGGTATCGACACAGAAGCTTGGACTTTGTACTTGGAGGGTCAAGGGACTTAGTAAGTAGGTCAAGAATCAAGGCTTAGGGTCTGGTGGGTTACGGGGGGCTTCGGAAGTAGGATTGGGGAATGTTTTCAAGGGCTATGTAGGCACACGTGGGACTAGGAAGGCGGTTAACCATGGAAACGGGAATGTGAACTGCTATGTAGGGTTTGGGTTTCGGGTCTAGGGTCACAAGGACTTAGCAAGTATATTTATACCCTCTAGAAGCCATGTAATAACTCCACGTAGTGTTATAATTGACCTACTTACCAAATCCACCTGGTTGCAAAATACTGTGCTCAAGCTTTCGAGTGCAAGGGGTGAGTTGCTTCCATGGTCGGGCATGCAGTCGTTTGCAAAGTCTGGAGCTATGATTGTTTGAGCGGTGCACGAACATTTGTTGCGGTCAATAAGCTGAATTGAGTGTTGGCGTTGGACGCGGGAATTGCGTGTTTGCGTTGGGCACGGGAAATTGCACGACTTGGCTGCGTCCGACATCAGCATGCCATGAAGAGGGCCAACGTGCGTCTCCATGGTTGGTGCATTAACAGTTTGGGTTGAGTTTTATTTTGCACATCCCTTTCTTCCCGGAATCCTTCAACCTACACCGAAACTCTGCATGGGAGTTTGATCTACAGGTTTTTTTTGGGAAAGTATTGAGGAATCGTGTCACTGTTTATAGACAAACATAGGGGAAATTATGTTTCGTTATAGCCATTGTAGGCCCAAACAGTTTTGATCAACTTCCGCATCCTGAAGCTAAAGCCCCCATCCCTACACTTTCAACCCCGAACCCTAAACCCAAGCATTAAACCTTGAATCCCTAAACCCTAAACCGCTCCATGATTTTGATGCGTGTTCGCTTGAGGAGTACCTCTGCCAGCCTAGTCCCGAGCCTCGGCTTTAGTAGGGATTTTTAGTGAACAGGAAGCTCTAAGAATATGGGGTTAGGGCGGTTTAAGGTTTAAGGTTTTAAGGTTTTAAGGTTTTAAGGTTTTAAGGTTTTAAGGTTTTAAGGTTTAAGGTTCAGGGTTTAGGGTTAGGGTTTAGGGTGGGAACCCCAAGAATATAGAAGGAACAAGCATGTGATGACCAAGGTCCTTGTATTCCTATGATATTCCTGGGCTATTCTTGTGATTCCGTGTTTGTTCCCCATTAACGTCCTTCTATGCAAGCGATTGGCCTTCCGTATTTAAACAGGTATGGGGGGAAACGAACCTTCAACACCAGTACGGCCATTAGGGAATCGTTCTACACGTGTAGGTTGGAGCAGCACGACTTGGCTTCCTAGGTATTATAAGGGCCCACCCAGAAAAATGGACGAGGGCTTTCGGGTAGATGGTACAATGCTTGCGCAGGGCTTCTTGGGGAATAATGTTGGCAATTCTTCAGGCGTCTTTTGCATGAAGTTAGTACTCGTGGAGATAACTGGGGCTTTCATGTGGCCCTAAACCCTAAAAACCCTAAACCCTAAACTCTAAACCCTGCTTCCTTGGTTTTCTTCGACTTACGAAGTTGTTGTAAAAAAATGAGGTGCAGCCGCCGATTTGGGATTGGAGGTTTGAGTGCCTACTCCTTAAACCCTAAACTCCCCACCACCCTAGACCCTAAACCTGAACTCTAAACGCTAAACTCTAAACCCTATACCTTAAGGGGGTTTCGGGTTTGGGGCTCAAGTATTTCAAGGTTCCAAGTTGAGGGCTTTGGGCTTCAGAGTTGAGGCCGTTTCCTTTCAGGTTTCAGGGTAAGGTTTGCCAGACTCGGGGTTTAGGGTTTTAGGGTTTAGGATGTGGGGCTTAGGGTTTGAGGTTTAGGGGTTTGGGGATTTGGGGTCTCAGGATTTTTGGTTAGGCTTCTGGGCAATGTCTTTAGTTCGGGGTGTTGGGCTACGGCTAAGAGCTCAGGAAGTTCCTAGACAGGGTTGTTCATGCTTCAGAACCTAAACCCTAAACCCTAAATCCTAAACTGTGTAGGGACTTAGGGTTCCTGGCTCAGGGTGAAGGAGTCTAGGGATTCAGGCCCGAGGTTTCTAATTGAAGGGTTTGGAGTTTCATGACTGGGGTTGGGTTGGGGGTGTTCTCGTCTTGAACCATACGATTTTCACATGTCTGCATCTGTTACAAGCCTTCTGTCCTTCTGAGCTTTCCTCATGCTTCCCTACGGCTGCCCCTTTCGTAAGACTGAGTTTCCTGGTTCTTCGTAGCAGGCTCACTGAGCATAGGCACCCTAAACCCTAAGCCGCGCTGGTACAATCATTCCACAGTTAACGGCCATCCTTCCTGGATTTCCTCCTGGACAATTGGTGGCTTTGTACGTGCACATATATGTATGAGCGCACGATCAAACCTGGCAAAGGCAAGACCTCAGCCCTAAACCCTACACCCTAAACCATAAAGTAGAAGAAGAGGGGTAGTCGCAGTCGTAGTAATTGTTTTCGCTTGCAGCCACAACAGCGCGCCTAAAGCCTGATCACCCTAAACTCCAAATTCTGAACCCAAACCCTAAACCCTAAATCCTGAACCCTAAATCCTAAACCCTAAGCCGCAAGCCCCAAACCTGGAAGTCAAAGCCCGAACATGTCAGGACGTCGTGCCCCTCACGCAGGTCGGGTTCGCGGAGATAGCTGCGCAGGCCGGGCTGACATGGCCTGCAGTCTAAACTCCTTACAGGGGTTATATAGGGGATTATATTGGGGATTATATTGGGGATTACTGTATGGATTATTAAGGGGTTTACTAGGAATTTAGACTATAACCTCTATAATCCCCCTGTATCATCCCAGTTTCCATTTCATTTTCCATTTGATTAGCCATTACTAAAGGGGTTTACTAGGAGTTTAGACTACAGCTAACAGGCTGATGCATAACCGATATAATCCCTCATAATCGCCTCTATATGAGGAATGCGCAAACGAACGGAAACTACTTCAGGGTTTAGGGTTCAGTGCTTAATGACTTGTAAGTTCAGTGACATTGAAGGTTCAATGGTTTGCCCTCACTTTCGTCGGGATAGATGAAGTCTCAGGATGGGTTTAGTAAGGTTGTGCTTTGTGTTAGGATAAGGACCCAGCTTTTCAGTTTGGTGTGTTCCCTAAACCCTGAAGTCTAAAGTGCTTGTAAAGAGCTAAGGTATCCTCATTTTGCGCCACCCTTTAGACTATAGACTCACGACAGTTGCGGTATTTTGACCATCTCTGGTGGTGCAAGATTTGCTCCATGAACGTTGGGCCGCGATTGAGGGGTTTGGGTGGGTCAGGCCGTGCAAGAAGATAGATATCATGATATACTAAAAGATACCATAATAGGGTTTTCCTTTTGTTTTCCATTATTCCTATATCACCCAATATTATACCCCAATATAACGTTAGTATAACCCCTAAACCCTAAACCCTAAGCCCAAACCTTCCGAGCTCCCGAATACGTGCTTTGACGTCCGAATCCCCTTCATCTATTCATCGGAGGAAGGTCTAAACACCTGACAAACGTGTTTAAAACCACAAACCCCGGTATCTTTGAAAGTATGCCTATCGAATTGTTGTTGATTGTCTTTGTTTAAACCTTAAGCCTTAAACCCTAAACCCTCTTATGATGCCCCCTGCGCCCTCAGGGTTCCGCGCCACGCATGGCGGTCTTTGCGCGGCGCGTGGTAGAGCACCTAGGGGCGGAGGCTCAATCCGGGATCGAAGTTGATCTACGGTATAGGGTCTAGGGCTTAGGGTTTGGGGTTAGGGATGTAATGTTTAGTGTTAGGGTTCAGGGTTTAGGGCTAGGAGTGTAGGGTGTAGGGTCTAGGGTTCGGGGTTAGGGGTTTCGGGGTTAGGGTTTTAGGGTTTAAGGTTTTCTCATTTCTAATGGATTAAGACCACACCAAAAAGGTGTAACATTGCAATTTGAGTGTTTTGTATCCCAAAACGAACTGAAGGCAGGGTTGTTGTTGCATCAGAAGTGTGACCCATGAATTCCGGAACCTAAGATAGGCTAATAGATGATGATGTCCAATCTACCTCATCCATATTCAGGCAGGGGATTTCAGGATTTACTGCTTTTGAGGTTTAGGGTTCAGAAGCCTAAACCCACCCCCAAATCAAAAAACCAAAGCCCCAAACCTTGAAGTTCGATTTCAGGGCATTGAAGGGTCTAGAGTTGAGGGCTGCAGGATGTGAGAGTTAGCGGTTTAGATTTCCATGCATTTTGTAAGGGACGCATATAGGGGTATATAGGGTGTGGAGTTTACAGGTTCAACTATGTAAATCAACTCAACAAGAAATGGAACATGAAATTGAAATTGGGTTTGTACTACAGGGGTGTTTGGGTATACTTATCAACATTAAGGTTCTAGACTCCTTGCATGTATAGGGTACCTGAAATTCGACTGCAAGATGATATCTATGATTATTCAGGCTTTCCTGCATCATGGCTGTAGAAGCACAGTTTCCAGTAACATTTACAGTTTCTTGTGCATTTCATTCTTCACAATCGGTAGCCTAAACCCTCTACCATGAACCCTAAACCCTACACTCTCAAACCCTAAGCCCTAAACCCTAAGCTCCTAATTTCTTAGCCCTAAACCCTTAACTCTTCAACCCTAATCTCCTGAGCCCTAAGCCCCAAACTCCTAATCCCTAAACTCCTAAGCACTAAACCCTATGTATCCCTACAAGTAGGTTCTTCTCAGTTGGGGGGATGACGGAGCTCGGAGTTAAGGTTTAGGGTTTAGGGTTTAGGCCGTAGGGTTTAGGGGGTTTTGGTCGTAACCATGGGCCCCCTAGCATGGGTCTTCGCTTGAGGGTCCTAACCCTGGGCCCTTTATTGGGTTTTAAGGGCTGCTAGAGGGTATTCAATAAGGGCCCATAACTGGAGCGCATAGCTCCCACTGCAGGTGAAGATTTCAGCCACACGGTTTAGGGTTTAGGGTTTAGGGTTTGGGGTTTAGGGTTTGGGGTTTAGGGTTTGGGGTTTAGGGTTTGGGTTTTAGGGTTGGGAGGGTATGGGGTTCTGAGTTTCCATGCTAGATGTGGGGACTGTACAAATGTTGCATATGCATATGCAACACTTCAAACACTAAACCCCTAAAAGTCCGGATTCAAGGATTACAGTTTGAGTTCCTGTGCAGTTCAGCTTTGGAATGCCACCCAACCTTAGGATGGTTAGTTTCTCCACATGAGCTATAGTCAAAACTCCTGAAAGGGGGGTTATATGGGGGATTATTTATGGGACTACTACAGGGGTTATTAAGGGGGATACCAGGAGTTTAGACAGTAGCTCACATGAATCTTGGGAGTAGTCCCCACAAGCTTCACATAGCCCCTACAGACCCTAAACCTCAAACCCTGCTTCAGCTTTTTAAGCTTTAGGGAAGCCTTAGGTGCGGGTAGCCGACTGGGAACTCCACACTTGCAATTTTCTTCTACTCAACGCTCCGGGGTTTCTGTCAGGGTTTCTTCACATGAAACCACTCGGGTTTAGGGTTTGGGGATTCTATTGATGGAGACTCCTACCCTAAACCCTAAACCCCTAAACCCTAAACCCCTAAACCCTAAACCCTAAACCCTAAACCCCTAAACCCTAAACCGTAAACCCTAAACCCTAAACCCCTAAACCCTAAACCCAATTTCTCTA